GAGGGTCACGGAGGTCAGCCCTGAGGGATGTGGGCACTGGGAGTCAGCCCTGAGGGGTGAGGGTCACGGGTGGGGGGGGCAGCCCTGAGAGATGTGGGCACTAGAGTCAGCCCTGAGGGGCGAGGGTCATGGGAGGGGGCAGCCCTGAGGGATGTGGGCACTGGGAGTCAGCCCTGAGGGGCGAGGGTCATGGGAGGGGGCACCCCTGAGGGATGTGGGCACTAGAGTCAGCCCTGAGGGGCGAGGGTCATGGGTGGGGGGGCAGCCCTGAGAGATGTGGGCACTGGGAGTCAGCCCTGAGGGGCGAGGGTCACGGGCCAGCCTGGAGCCAGCAGCCACCATGAGCGTTTATAGTCAAGAATCTTGCCAGACAGGTGTTTCTGCCCCAGGGTGCAGGGCTGACTCTGTTGGGCCCGAGAACCGTTCTTGACGTGCCCTTCTTAGAGCAAGGCTTTCAGGCCTCGCCTGCCATTCCCGGCCACGACCCTTCCCTTCCAGATCTGCTGGTCGAGCTGCTGGGTGCCAGGCTCTGCGCTCAGGGCTCTCCTTGCCCGCACCCGCTCATCCGCCCCGCGAGGGCGGGTCCTGTCGTCCCTCCTCATGCCGCCTGACACCTGAGGCGGTGGGGTGACTGGGTAGCCCTGGTGCGGGGTGGCCCTGCTGGTGAGTGGGGGGACGGTCTCAAGCCACAGCCTCTCCTGGGAGCCCTTGCCTGGAATGAAGTCGCTTCCCTCCACGGCCCCCCACCCCCCGACTCTCCTGCACCACCCCCACCACCCCAGCAGTAGCTGACAAAGCCTTGATCGTGGCAGATTCAGGGCCCGAGTTCGAGTGGGTCATTGTAGAAGAGATGGGCTTTTCTTCCAGCTTTTTCAGGCTCCCAGTGCCAGTGGGTGAGCACCCAAGGGCGGGCACTCACCTCGGTGGCCGCTCCCCCCCACCGCCAGCCAGACTGAGCCCTGGCTCCTGCCGCCCACAGCGCCCCGTATCCAGTGACCCCCCTCATTCCGTCCTATCCTAGGCGGGCACTGAGCAGGTGCTGAGACCGGAGGGGTACAGCCTGGAGTTCTGGGCTCACTCATAGTTTGTGAAATCTGGTCGTGGGTGAGGTGATTAGAAAGAAAGACGCCAGCTTGCTTCAGTTTCACAGCGCCCAGCCGAGTCGGGGGCTCCTGCACGGGTGCAGCTCCTGTCCCCCCACCCCCCCAGTCCTCTGCATGTCACAGATCTGGTTTCTCTGTTTGTTTTTCTAGTTCAACTTTGTGGGGAAACTTTTGGGTCCACGTGGCAATTCTCTGAAGCGTTTACAGGAAGAGACCTTGACAAAAATGTCCATTCTTGGAAAAGGTTCCATGAGGGACAAAGCAAAGGTAACGTTCACTCCAGACAACGGCTGTAAGTCTGCCCGTCGCTTTGCATGCTGTGCTTTGGGTCGCTTACCGTGTTGACGCATTTTACATAAAGCCTGAGGAGGGTGTCCAGTGACATCGCATGAAAGTGTTGTGTAAGGTGATGTACTTGTGATACTGTGCAGACAACCCTGTCACCCCGTCAGGTTCAGAATATGTAGCACAAAACCGTGTCTTGGTCTATCCACTTACCAGACACAGTAGCCGCGCTTAGAGCTTCGGAGCTAGAAGTAACCCGCGGTCTTGCCGAAGCGCATGAGCCTCGGAGGTCAGCCCCTTCACCTTTGCTTTCTCCGCCTGCCTCACAGGCCAGACGCTGTAAAGCATGTTCTCTGATTTGCTCCTGTTGCCATTCCTGGGTCTCATACATTTTGTCAAGTTAATGTTGATATTAAGTCATAGATATTAAGTCATAGAACAACACATGGTTATTCGATGTGGCTGTGCTCACAGCAGCTGCTTCCGTTGTTACGCAAGCTCAACATTCCTGAGTTATTTTTATTAATCACAGTATTAAATCTTACCAATTCTGAAGGAAATTTTCACATCTCCTGATGTGTGTTATCACTTTTTGGTCCTTGTTATCACTTCATTGAAAGATTTGTCTCACTGCGAAGCAAACCATGTTCCGGGTCACTTAGCAGGAGACGCTGGGCGATGGTTGTGTCAAGCCAGAGAGCCGCTTAGACAGGCTGGCTCCCTCAGCGACACGTCCATCTGATTGGAACCTTGCATCACTAAACAGCCATCGTTTGTGCCTTGAGTGGCTGTGGTGAATCTGCCACTCTGTGACCCTCGTATGTGGATCATTTCATATTCTTGCAAAAGTGGTGAGAGATCAGTATTTATTTTAGATGTCAGAAAATGGAGATTTGGAGAAGCTGGGTGTGTTACCTGGGTTAGTTGGGTCTATTATTTGACGAAAGCATGGTTCTCTTTTGGATATTGGTGTGAAACACAGCCGTTCATGCCCGGCCTATTGGGTGGAGCCTCGAGACGAACTTGCAGCAGGTGTTTGAAATGACCCCAGGGCACCGCTGGGTTGGGCTGCCCACTTACAAGCCTGGCTTTGCAAGCCGTGTGCTCTCCTCTCCTGGTTATCTGCTCTGACGTAGGAGGAGGAGGTGGGCCCAGAACTTCCCGCATCTTGCAGGAAAGTGCCCCTCGCTGATGCCGTGACCGAGCCAGGAGCTGCCAAAGGCCGGTGGAGCCCGGGGACAGCGCCCCACCCTGGTCTTGTTGCTAAGGGACTTCTTAGCCAGAGCCATGGTTGGGGCATCCACCATGGGTGAGGGGCGAGCTGGGCGGGGGCTTTATTACGTCCAGGCAACAACAGCAAGTGCCCTACTGCCCATGTAGGGAAAGGGGTCCCAGGTCTCATCAGCTGCCTGGGTACTTCTTCTCTCCTCAGTCCCTCTATTGGAAGGTCCCCCATCCTAGTTGGGGTGGCCGAGGGGAAGTGCCCCCTGCAGCCAGAGGTGGTGTGTTGCTGTGGGCGTCCCGGGGGTGGGGGCGGGTGGGGATCAGGTCCGGCGGTGCAGCAGGGCAGCGTACTGAGACCAAGGGTCACAGTGTCCGTCCCAGGGACACGAGGCAGGAAAGGCCTCCCCAGCAGGCACGTGTCCACGTGGCAGGTCGCCTTCCATTTAGATACCCGAGTGAATCCGAATCCCCCCAAGGGCAGCTGGACCGGCGCTCAGCTTGTCACTGCCACCAGATATGTCCCTAGCGTCGCGGGAGAGGGTGGTCCGTCTGCAGGGCCCCTGCGGCACCGGGCTGTGCTCCCTGTGGACCCCGCCAGCCCTCCAGCTCCTCGGGCTTGAACCTGTAAGGCGAGATTCCACCTGTCGCTTTCTTCTTTAAACATTCAGCACCTTGAAGAATGGTTCCCTTCAGCCCCACCGCACGCACCCTGCTCTCTGAGACCGCCGCCCTGCTGCGGCCCGCCAGTCACACCTGCAAAGGCGTGGCACTGCCCACCTGCCTGGTGCACGTCCACCCTCTGTCGTCAGACCCTCCTGCTTGAAGCCTGTGAAGACCCTTTTCTGCTGGGTTTCTTGACGACTTTGTTTACAGAAATTCAGCCAATACTACGTTCCTATCTCTGCTTCCTCTACTGGTATTAAAGCCTCCTCCTTGTAGATTGTCGAAGAGTTCACTCTTTCCTTTCTGACGTGAACATAATTCTTCCCGGTCACCGTGTCGCTGATATCCCGGCTCCCTGGGACCTGTGTCAGCTGCTGGGTCACAGGATGAGCCAGCCGTCCTGCTGGGCCAGCTCTGCTGCAGGGGGACAGAACACAGACGCTATTTTCCTGTAACAGTCATTTCGCCAGCGTCGTCATTACTGTGCTCGAGCTCATCACTCACTGTTTACGTTGGGCGTGACGCTAGGGACGCTGTGTCTCAGACACGAGACGGTACTGCTCAACGCCTTTATTCCTAATACCCCTAATTCCTATTACTGCGGACGCCTTTACTGCAACAGCCCTGCCCATGAGCGGGAGGTACCCTGTTGTCACCACTGAAGCCACCGCTTAGGCTGAGAGAGTTACGTCCCCAAGGGCAAGAAGAAATGCTGGCTCTGAGATATGAAGGCGGCGGAAGGTTGTGATGGACAGCAAAAGGCTGGCCTGAGATCAATATGCTCAATATGCTTTTTTTAAAAATCGTTAATTTGATGCCGTATTAGGAAAAAAGATATTCATTTCGTCAGTTCATACTTTCAAAGTTGAACTACTCTGCATGGAGTCAAGTTTCCTGAGGGTCAGCCGTGAAGGCCGCTCGTGAATGCCCGCGGCTGGGAAGGCCGTGAGGGGCGGCGGAGGCCTGCGGCTGGCCGAGCCGTCTGCACCTCATCCTGGGCGGATTGAGGGAGGCGCCAGGGCGGTGCGGCCGCTGGCGTGGGCTCTCCCCGGCGGTGATGTCCCTCTCGTTTTCTGCTCACTCTGTGACCGTGAAGGGTGGCACTCACGGCGTGCGGGCTGGTGCCCGGCAGTGGGCTGGACGCTGCTGCACTGTGCGCTTGGCCAGGCCGTGGCACGAACTGGGCCTTCGGGCGTCTCGGTGGCCTGGTGCTAACGTGCTTCTTTTAGCGACAGAAGGACTGGTGAGGCAGGTGTGGGGGTTCTGTGCAGTCTGCTCACCAGTGTCAGATAAGCAGGCCTGTCCGGCTGGGTGTCCCGCCCTCGCCGGCTGGACCTGTGGCTCCCCCTTTCCTTTGCAAGGATTCGCGTGAGTTGAGTTGACGCCTTATGGACGATTGGAGGGCTCGGCCCTCCCGGCCTGTCAGCTAGTGGTAGAATCAAGAGCTGTGTTTGCTGTGGATCCAGGGCCTGTGTCTCTTTGGGGGGCGTTGGGGAGCTGGCTCTTTCTTTGTGGAACTGGCTTTTGTGGAGGCGCCTGCTCAGTCTGTCAGAGGTTAGTGTTGGGAACAGGCCTGCTTGAGGCCTTGCGCTCCCCCCTTCCTCCCCACCCCCTCCCCACCACAGAACTGTCATAATTATAAAACCACATAATAGCATCTCTCGCGCATGTTTCCCCCGTTTTCCCCTTGCCGTGTGGTGCCTGGTACGTAGAAAATGAGTGTGACCGAGCAAGTGAACGCAGACGAGACAGAATCGTATTTCTTTGGTCACTCACGCAACACCTGTTGGGCATCTGCTGCCGCCCCAGACCAGGCAGCCGAGGCTCGCCCACGCCCTCCAGTCAGTCAGTGAGGAGGGGGTGCAGAGTCGGCACTGAGCTGGGGCTGCTGGAGAGCTGAGGCGGGCCGTGCGTGCAGGGGTGACGGACGGGGAGCTCGATGTGGGGACAC